GGTGGGTGGGTGAGTAGAGGGACAAAGAGGAAGAAGGCAAAGCAGGAAGAAGAGAAGAAGTAAGAGGAATAAGTTTGAATTGGCTAAGAAAAAGAAGAAGAAGCCCATGAATGGTGCTGTGGAGATCACAAACAAGGTTTTACTTGAATTTAGTACTAATGCAAGAGGCTTAAAATGAAAGATTGGAAGCACAGTAAAAATATTCTTATGATTGATGAGGGAGGAAAGGTTAAGAACATAGATCAGAGTCTTAATAAATGAGAAAATGAAAAAGCAAAGGTTTGCAATGTTAAGAAAGAAAGGATCACAAGAATATGTACTAGAATTTGAGGGCAATGAAAAGCATAGAGGCATGAACACTCAGCCTCACAAGAGAATAGAATGAACTTGCTGATGTTGTAAAAAGGAAGATAGAAGTAAAGAGGAAAATTAAATAGATTGCTTGGGAGGACATTCAAGGAATTCTGTTGTATCCATCATAAGCTTGGAGATTATTAATCCTCCCAAAGGAAATATTGGAGAGTTGAAAACAGTAAGTGACAGACAGTGTGTGTGACAGAGACTAATCAATGAGAAGCTTCAATAATTTTGTAAAAAATTTTTGGGAGATTGATTGATTGATTACATGCCATCAAGTCATTGTCAACTCTTAGGGACCACATAGATAGATTTTCTCCGTGATGATCTCTCCCTACCCTGGTTCTTCAGCTCTTCCAATGACGCGCTTATCATTACTATAATTGAGTCCATTCACCTTGCTTCTGCTTTTCCTCTCCTCCCCCTTCCTTCCACCTTTCCTAACATTAAAGTCTTCTTCAGAGACCTAGGGCTTTGCATAATGTGCCCGGGATAATTTGAGCTTAGTTATTTGTGCCTCGAGTGAGAACTCAGGGTTGATTTGTTGGATGAACATTAGTTTGTTTTCTTGGCTGTCCATGGTATTCTCAGAAGTCTTCTCCAACACCAAAGTTCAAAAACGTCAAGATACATTTGTTCTAATTGTTTTGAAATAATTTGTAATCCACATAGAGAATAGAAATATTGAATGGCAAAATGCTATCTATCTGTATTATGTCTCAAGCTGTTAACAAGTGAAAAGGACAACATCTTTTTCAGAGAAACCTGAATGGTAGCAAACGATCAGTCTGGAAAAAGATTTCTTTGATTTTGATACCATTAGAAAACCAAAGTAAACCACTGGTATACCTACCCAGTCATCACAGCAGACCCACGGTGGTGTCCTGAAAGACATGACTGGAAGGAAGGTGACAATTTGGAGCCATCTAATATACAGCTCTTCATTGGTTAGAAATTCACCTGAAAGTGTTCCACCTTTATAAAACATACAGAAAACTAAATTAGTGGGTTATATGAAATGTAAGGTAAATATTTAATATTCAGCTTTAATTTTGGATTCAGTAAATGAGGAACTTCCACACTGAGTCAATAATACAGTTCAAGTCACTGTAACATCACTTCTCCATCCTCTTGATAGCCAGGGCACTATTAAAACATGGCACAACCAGCATCATCTCCCAGGTCTACCCAGTGTGGAGTTTCTCTACTTTTATAGTGCCAGTCCGGCATCTGCTAATGCAGAAAGCAGGGCAAGGGGGCGGGGGGGGGGGAAGCAGAAAGGCTGTTAAAATCAGCATGATTCCAAAAGAAACAAGTGAAGTCCACAAATAATACAGGAACTAAACCAAGAAAGGCCTGACCCTACGTACATTTTGCCACTGATTAAATCTGATAAGCGCAAATGTTCTGAAGCATGTCAGAAAACTGTATAGTGATTATACTGGAAAGTAACATTTCTGACTATCTGACTCCTGAGGCAAAGCAATATCACTGACCTGGTTGGTTTAAGCTATGAAAAATTAAACCGATACACGTTTCCAGCTGGAACAGTACAGCGCTAATATAAATAAATGAATTTCAGAGAAATGACCCAGATAATTTCCTGCTAAAAGAAGGAAATTCTTTCATCATCTTCTGTCAAACACATGCTTCACATTCATTTTTCAGGCAGCATTGCTCTTATATAACAACAGTAATCAGAAAAACAAGGCAAAGCCATAGGAGTTGAAATATATGACTGACCATTAAGTGTTTCATACTTCTGGGCATTTTATTTCTTTTTTGCTAAACATTATATTCCTATTAACATGTTTTTATTGCATCTCGGTCTCTTAAAGATCAATCCAACTCAACAGTTGTCATTTTCACCTAAGCTACTAACAATAAAATACCATTGAGGGTCTGTTCTAACAGTGCCTGACTCTTGATCAACCCCATGTCTCTGTGTACCAAGATGATGGGTTGTTATATTATGAAAATTGAGGCCACTTTGTACATTACTTACAATATAATACAAGGAAATTACTTTGCTATACAAAATTGAATATCTGCAAATAAGTTATAGCATGTATCAAAGCAATACATTACACATATTCTGGGATTAGCCTAAAAGAAAGCAAAGGGTATCAAGCAAACAGGACAGAAACATTTGAGCTGGCACAAGCTAGAAAGCGCTGCTTTCTATTGAGAGCAGGAAAATATGAATGAAAACATGAGCCTTCACAGTGGCCGAGAACCACTGGAAGACAACCACATCTTTTCCTGCCCTCCAGAAATGATTGGTGGCCCATATTCATGTCAGGGCAATCTGGCAAAGTGGATATGTCCTTAGTATGATGTGCAAACTTACTTCCTCTGGGTTGCAAACTATGGCTTAAGGCATAACATAGTATGTCAACCTAGTTTTTCTGTTTTATTCAATGAAGCTTGGTTTAAAAAGGCAATGCTTAGCACAACATGACAAGCACTGTCTTGACTTTTAGTCCTAGAAACATCCATGTGGAAGTGCCTATGTGGCAGCCAGGAACACAGTTCAGGAGCAAATCTAAAAATAGCTTCTGATGTTATTAATCTTAAAAAGTGGGATTTGGGAGTGCCCGCCGATATAGCACAATCATGTTATCTAGGAAGTAGCCTTTGGACATGCAGGTTACAAATTAGGGACGCCAAATCCTGATTGTCCCCTAACTGATGTTGCATAAGAATAAGAGGTATATCTTTTGGAAGAATTCCATATATCTCAATATAACATTTTTTTTAAAAAATCCAGGGGTACGATCCAACCAAAATTTGTAGATTTAATCTTATTTATTTTCGTGAGAGTTTTATACATACACACCCAACCCACACACACACACACAATGCCCCATGTATATTTATTTGGGAATAAGCTCTCTTGAACTCATTTGTCTGATTTCTATATCACCAGATATACAGTAAGTACTCTCGTTGGCACTTTCAGGTTAAAATCTTCCTAACTATTTCCTGTTCATTTAATGATTCAAGCTTGGCTGGATTGTATCTCAGATTTGTATTTTGCAATGAAAGCATCCAATGAGCCCTAAGGTTTTGTTCTTTTATAAATAGATTATAAGAGATAATGAGAGATTTTTAAAATTATTCATGAATTTGAATACAGCATCTAGTTGTTCCAATCATATTTTAAATTAAGGAACTTATGTTATATGTGTTTTATCACTGCATTCTCAAAATACCCATTAAATTCCTTTGGAATGAAAGAATATTGAATTAAATGAAGACTCTTCAGTATCTCACTGACATTTTGGGAGTTTGACTTAATCCTATATAAACAACAAAGTGCCAGAAATCAAAAGTGCCAATACATTTGTTAAATAAGTGGTAAAAAAAAAAAAAAAAAACTTGTAAGGAAAACTGTTGTGGGTCTTATTGTTGGAGATTATGGGAACAGAGTTTAAAATAGTCAACTCCAATATCCAGAGAGAACCTTGACATTACAGAAATTATTATTTTTTATTTTAACTAATCCTAAATCATCTCAGGCTTTTAGCTAAACCTGTATGCTTATGGAAGCGTATTAAAATGAAAGTACGTTATATGGCTGAGGGCCAAATTTCTTGCAACAGAATTATTTGCACAGAGTCTGCCCCATTCAATTCCATCTTCAGCAGAATGCCTTTTCCCAGGCATGTCATGGATACATTTGACATTAACGGCTAGCTCTGCCTTTTCAGCAACAGGTTCCCCCTTGGCCCTGAGGCTGGTCGCCTTCTTCTTTCAGTCTAGGAAAAGACTTAAATCTCTTTGCCCAGGCTTTTAAAGGGTTGTCTTTATGCTGCTGCATTCAATTATTTTAATTTAAGACTATTATTTTAATTTAAGACTAAATGTTGAAAGCTGCCTGAAGCCATAAAAAGAAAGTGAGTGGAATAAAAAAGATGAAGTTGATGACCTATCAGTGGAATTGGACAGATACCATGTTTCTTGTCCTCCACAAGTACAGAAGATAAGAGGTTGATTTCTTCAAACAAAGTCTGACATTCTGGAGATGCCCAATTGCTTTATTCGAGATTCTGCAGTTGTCCAGAAAGCCTCTTGGCATAACTTGAACTAAGTGATGCAAACTGATGGCTAATGAGGAACACCCAAAAGCATCTGGGAGTTTTCATTCATAATCAGAAATCTGAAGTGCAGTTTCAGATCTTATCAAAAGAAACTGTCTTTTAATCTGATCAGGTCATTTGTCAAGGTAACACATTATTATCGGGACTGGCTTTAACTCTTCGGCTTTCAGGTCAAAGCAATTTTAGCTCTACTTGGAGTCTGAAGACATTAAACCTGGGAAGATTTCATAGAAAACATACTCTACCTTGGAGCTCTGGAGTAGATCTAATCCATGCTATGAATTAGCTACAAACCAAAAAGCCCTGTACTTTTTGTCAGTTAGGTGAATGAAGCCAGGATATCATTTGTTTATATTCTAAAGAGTGGCCAGTTAAATGCATATGGAATTTCTATTTATATCCTTCAATTGTTTTTATTTGTATCCTGGCTAATTCCTGTTAACAGAAATCAAATAACTCCAGTGTGGCAGCAAATTTGGACATTGATGTCTTATAAGCTGTTTGTGGTATGGTTTTAATCAGCATTACTGATGAGACAAGCAGATTGTGTACATTTATCTCCCAGAAGGAACCTTAAAAGCTGCCTTTTATTGTCAGACCAGTGATCCATCTAGGTCTACAAACTGACTAGCAGTGACTTGCTGGAGTTTTAGAAAGGCCCCCCCCCCCCAATCTTACACAGAAAAGGGAATTGAACTTTTAACAAATCAGTCAATACAATAATGTTACCTATTGCATCTGGAATGAAAAAATTATAACCAAGAAGACTGTAATGAAGCACAGATGGAATAATCCCTTTCAAACCAGTGTAGCTCCAGTCGGATTGGCGTGGATTCATTTGGAGAAAGAGTGGCAGGTGGCTGGATCTACAAGCAATACAAATAAACAAACAGTGTGAGAGATGGATAAAATATGTTATTATTGACAAAGAAATAGTAGCTTGAGCATG